ATCTATTAAAAGTTTTCAAGATTAAACAACCAAAAACTGAGAAATATTTCATAAAAATGAGTATTTCAGGGAAATAACTCCAAATGGGGTTGTCCAATTCGTCTGCAAATTTCTTCACTTACAGATCTTGCTTGACCTCCTGATAATTTTTACCCCTTGTCAGTTTTGCCCTAACTGTTTAAGACGCCTTGTCAGTTTTGCTTTAACTGTTTAAGTTTTTGAGATACGAGCAAACAACTATGTTTTACCCCTTATGTTCTATTTTTAGCCATGGCAGCCATGTTTGTTGACTAACCAGAATAAATCAAAGTGCTGGATAGCACTTGTGGAAAGTTTGCAACGGTAGATGTGTTATATTTCAAATAGGTTGTAGATGTGTAGATTGTGTGGTTAACGTTTTTTTCCGACTTTTATAAAAAATTACTTAATACAAGAAATAATTGTAACAGGATGCTGTTACAAAGTCTCCCAAACAAAGCTCCCATAATTAGTCATTCCCATGGTCGCCTGACATTGGGCAAAGTCTAGTACAAATTGGTATGGTCAGTAAACTGATATGCATAAGTGACGCCAGGGATTAACCCTGTATGTCATTCAAATCTTCTTGAAATCATGAACAGGAATAAATATGGTTTAGGGGTGGGGATCTCGACCGTTTACAAGTTCTCAAAAAGGGGGAGGGGGTGTAATTCTCAGGGGACTCGCCCTTTCATTTGATTTGTTTTTTTGTATCATACAAGACTATATATGGTTTAGGGTTGGAGATCTCGACCGTTTACAAGTTCTCAAACAGGAAGGGGGTGGGGGTGACCACAGGGGAATCGTCTTTTATTTCATTTGATTTGTTTTATTGACCCGTACAAGAATATATATGGTTTTCGGGGTCGGATCTCGACCGTTTACAAGTTCTCAAACAGGAGGGGGTGGGGGTGACCCAGAAGGACTCCCACTATATTTAATTTGTATTATTGTCCAATACATAAATATATATGGTTAAGGGGTGGGGATCTCAACCGTTTACAAGTTCTCAAACAGAAGGGGGTGGGGTGACCCCAGGGACTCAACCTATGTTCTATTTGATTTGTTTTATTGTCCTGTGATCATTACTGAAGACCGTGTGTGTTTCAAGTTATAGTCATTTGAAAATTAAAAAACATAAATCCCATAGGGTTCTGTAGGCCCCTCAAAGTACCCCTAAATAGACCCCAAGAAGAAAAATAATAAGAACTGAGCAAAAACAATAAGTCTCCAAACTTTGTTTGGCAGACTTAATAACAAAAAGTATATATAAGAATTTTGTTATAGTCCGATTTTGTGAGGCCGATTATGTAATAGGCCGAGTTTGTTATAGTCCGAGTGTGTTGTGGGCCGAGATGAGACAACAGGATACTTTCGATACACTCTGGCTTTTACGTCTTTAATAAACATATGTAAAAATCATAGTAGAAATAGCATCGAAAAATGTGCATTCATGAAATATTTTAAACACGGTATATATTTTCTCTTCAACCGGAGGAGGGGAGGAAACCCCTGAAACTGGGATTATTGTACTCCCGTTGGGAGGCACACATATATGGATCTCACGCATGTCTGGGGAATACCGATAAAAGCATAATGTAGAAACTGCTGTCTTGTGTAGTCCAAATAATTATAATGTCTTGAAAGACTGTAAGGCGTCAAAGCAAAAATATATAATAGCCTTTCAAGACGTCATAATTATTTGGACTACCGTCTCCTGTAGATGAGTATTGATTCCATTTTCCGCGCTACGCAGATCCGCGAAGTAGTGTTTGTGATAGCCATTTTCAAAAAAAAGTTGAATTCATTTGAATTGTCAGTGAACATTCAGTATATTTTAATTCAAGCTGTAAGCTAATCAAAATAGAAGTAACTCAAAATTTCAAAAGCATCTTCCAAGAATTAGTATTCAAACACTAGTACTACATTATCTAATAGTAGAACACACATCATATAGTAAGATAGTCTGTCCAACTTCCGGTTTGAGGCCAATGCCTTAGGAAAGTATATTGCTATAGCATGCTATAGCAAACTTTCCAAAAACACACACTTTATACAAAATATTATAAGGATCATTCCCCCCAAATTTGGGTCAGTAGGTTCAGAGGAAAAGATCTTGGAAATATTTTACAACGGACGTCAAGTGATGGCAATAGCTCAAAAAATCCAGACCAACATTTTATTGACAATGTTTATTATTGCATTAAAAAATTCCACAGCTTTTGGCACTATTTCTAACTGACATTATCCAAGGCCGGAGTTTCTGTCAAAATCCCAGGGCAGACTAACTGTGACAGTATGACACCATTCCTTTCTGAAAAAATCAGACTAACTATGACAAAAATCCACAACCATAACTTATAAGTGTTGACAATATCTATTACAAAACTGTCAAAATATCCACAGACATAATAGTATTACTTTTCTGACAAAATTCTAGACTATTACTTCATTGTTAGTGTATATTACAAAACTGTCAAAACATTGACATAGTATAGGTGTTGTCTTACATCTGTATCAACACCAATGTTTCACACTATCAGTTTATTTAAGCTAGAGATAGATATTAACAACTATCAACATTATAGAGTGCACTTGTTGATGTTTCCCTGACTTCTTATCATTAGAGAAAACTAACAGATGTTAAAATCATTACTTGTATAGTATTTTAAGCATTAGATCCTCATTGCAATATCATATGTTTTGAGTATTTCTTTTGGCTGGGGTCAAAATAATTGATTTTGCAGATTTGGATGCGACAGGCTGGCGCCAGACAACATGTGCAAAATGACTGCAGAGATACCAGCGGATGGTAGATGTTTAACATATGCATTTTTATAATTTATATACCAGAAACCATCAAGCCTTGTCAAAAGATTACTCAAGATAATTACAAAAACATATTTTTGCCACTTCTCTGCTACTTAAAAAGGCTATATAAACAGGCTTATAGGCACTAGGAATACTTTATAATTGTTTCATTGGCCCTTTTGTGTTCTGTATAAATGTAATGCTCACATAGAAAACCTTTTGTTAGAATACTAGATGTCATTTAGACACAAGGTACAGTTACCATAAGTTGACACTGGCTCTTAGAAAGAAAAAAAATACATGGTTTTACCTTACCATGATGTTGAGTTGTTTTTTTTTGGTTTATATCTTTTCTTTTTCTTTTTTTACTGTTTTTTCTTCAAGTATTTATTTATAACTTAACTTTAAGTTGACATGGCAGCTTTTAAGTATTACATTTTTTTGGTACTTCTTGTTTTCTCTGAATTCTATCATTACAATCTTTGTCTTTCCTTCTTTTTTTCATATCTCCCCTAGTTTCATCCACCTTGAAAGTCAACTTGAAAAAAAAAAGCCTTAGTTTTTAACCACTTCCAAACTTCCCACTAAGCAATTGAAAAAAAAATCGTTCATCTCTTTGATGTCAATTTGAATTAAAATATAAAAAGAAACCATATTGAAGTTCTTACTGGCCTCAAACCAAGTATGATATGATTTCTCATAAAGATGACTTTAGCATTTTTGAAGGCCAAAAAAGAGAATATTTGGTTACTTAATTTATGAAACTGAAACAATTGTATATTTAAGAAATTAGATTAAAATTGTAATAGTGACCTTATTTCTTACATTCTGAAAACTATGGCAATAAAAAGTATAATTTCAAAATCAAAACATAGTTTTTCAGGACTCACAGTCCAACTTTAATACTTATATATTTATTTATATTTATATTTTTTATAACTAATAATGTCAAATTTAAAAATCTATTTATTAATTTATTAATTTTTAATTCATTGTATTAATGTGACTAAAATGAAATGAATTATTGAAAGTAAATATTTCTTGGAGTTGGTCTCAAAACAGTATAAAAAAGCACAAATAGAAAGTCGACAAATCAGAAATTTTAACTTTTGAAAATAAAACTTAAGCAAGCACACTTACTCCTATCTATTGCTCTTTCTATTCAATAAGAATAGTTTAATCAACTGCTAGAAAACTAAAAAATGCATATAAATATACTAAAAATGAATGCTTTTCAGAAAAGAAGTTCAACATCTGAAATGATGCAACTTCTTGTTAGCTTCAATTTAAATCTGTGATAGCATTATTTGGTATAAACTTGAAACAGGCAAACCAGCCATCTTGAAGACCAGATGGTCATTATATATTTTTTCTGAAATTCCCAAACTTTAATATACAAATGCAATTCATGTGCTTAAGTAATCATTTATATATATTAAGACATTTATATGTCTTAAATTATGATAATATTTTCCATAAATACAGAGAAATTTCTTTCATTTTATAAATACAATTAAGAGTTTTATTTCAAAATAGAAGGTTACTCCAATAATGAAATTTTACAATAGATGTACCATAGATTTTATAATGTTTCTCTGTAGCAGGAAAGAGAGAATGGTGACCATGTTTTTCTTTTCATTTTCTGTAATTTTGCTGTAAAACTACCTCTACATAAATTCTTGTTTTTTTCTAATATGAAAAGAATTTTGCACATTCTTGTTGGTGACTCTTTTTTCATTTATTTTTAAAGATCTAATGATAAATACTAAGTTTTGGTAAAGCGTATAAATCAAGTTAATTGATATTAGTTTAAAGCACTCCAAATGAAACCGCATTTATTTTGCATGCAACAGCTACTGCACTACCTTTAGACAATTAAAGATAAAAGTTCCCCAAAAATGAATCAATGAAACTTTTTAACTAAAGAATGTTACAAAAGTTGATAACAAAGTTAATATTTTCATACTGTGGGCTACATACCATTACAAAGACATGTTTTTGATCTTAATTATTGTAATTAACAGTTTGGAACTCCTACACTTTCAGGTAAATGTATAAAATAAAAATATCTTGGAACAAAATAAAAAAAATAAATGTTTAAAAAATGATTTGCCATATTGACCATAAAATATCAAAAAACATGCTTCAAATTGAAAGAAATTTTTACATACGTCTTGGATGAAAAATGTCCATTGAGAAAATACTGTGATATCGCTGAGGATTTAACTTCATTAATTTGTATAGGCTGATTGGTTTTCTCTCCTTTTCTTCATCCATATCTAGTTAAAATGTCTTAGTCAAATAAAATAACCTACAGTCACTTGATAATTCAATTTGTCAATTTTCCGTACAGAAACCATCATCGTTTTAAGGTTTTAAAGTCCTTCAAAAATTGTTATGTTTTTCTACCACATTTGTTCATCACAAAACCAGCATCTGATCAAAGTAATACAATCATCAATGCTAAAAAATGAAATTGTTGGGTTATAGAGGAAAAAGTTTTTATGACTTCACACAAACATCAAACATTCAGTCTGAATGACAAATATAAAGTTAAGAATGTCAGCTTATTGCATCAATCTGGAGGACAGATTACAAAATTCTTTTCCCAATTAGCTTTTCTCAACAGGTAAACGGAGATTTATATAATACTCAGGTATGGTGTCTTTAACAATCTACCTTTATGTTAAACGTAAGTCAATTAGCGCTAGTTTTTTCATCAGCACGGAAGGCATCTGGTTAAACAATTGCAGAAAAACTAACGGAGTACAAATAGCATTGATAGATGTCGACTACAGGTATTTTAAGGTCTGAACAATCACCACTTACAAACACACACATTTTCTATGTAGTGTTATCATATCAATTAGATGGTTCCAATCACCCTCATGTGGCGATGATAGCAGTAGCAGATGGTTAAGAAAACTGATGGCGCCAACATAGATACCAAGATAGATATTCCTGCAGTACTGACTTCAGTCTGTGAAGTATCAGAGAGAAAAACAGCTGTTCATATCAAACACATGTTACACCTGGTCTTAAAAATAATGTCAATAAGTAATCAATGATACATAGTTACAAGGGGGAGGGGGTTAGACAACTCACAAATGAGTGACATAGAGGGGTATGGGGCAAGATAGTACAGTGATAAGAAAAAAAAAGGGGGGAGTCTCTAATACTGTAATATAGTGGATGACTTAATGATAGTCCTTAGCTACATTAAGATCTAAAATAGGAATATGAGACTTCACATTGGCCATGTAACTAATTGCATCCTCTTTCTAAAGTTAATAAACCCAGCTCTGAATGGATAAGAAGTAAATGGAATATCATCTCATAGTAAGGTAAAATATTAATTGAAATTAAATGGATAACTGATCTGTTATCATATGAAGTGGGCAAATTAGGTAGCCTTTTTTTGGACAATGTTCAGTTCAAACTGTTGATGGCTATGGGACTAATGGAGGTCTGGATGAAGGGTATCAAATTCAATCATAAGTATCTTTTTCAATAATAAATACTATAAACTGTTATCACAGAGATATGTCTCGCCTTTTTGTAATTTTGATAATGCAAATGCTGAAATTAAAATAGCAATACTTTAACATGTAAGTTATGCAAATATTCAAAGTCGATGAACCATGACTGAAGGTACATGGCTAAACAATCTCCATGGAATGAGATGTGCCAATGCTAATACAACTGCATACCAAATACCACTGACTTATCATAAGTCGTTCCCTTTAAACAAACCAAAACACAAACATTAACTTGTAAACTATGTAAAAGTTTCAAAGTCAATGAACCATGATCAGGGGTGGGGCTACATAATCTCCATGGAAATGATACTTGCAAATGCCAATAAATTTGCATACCAAATATAATTGACTTAACATTAGCAGGTCATCTTAAACTGATCTAATCACAAACTAATACATGTAAACTAAGCAAAAGTTTCAAAGTAAATAGACCATGACTGAGGGGGCAGAGTCAAATATTCTTCATGGAAATGAGATGTGCTAATGCTTATACAACTGAACACCAATTAACATTGGCCTACCACTAATGGTTCCCCTTGAACTGACCTAATCACAAACTAATACATGTTAACTTAGCAAAATTTTCAAAGTCTATAGACCAGACTAAGGGGGCGGCGCCAAATACTCTCCATGGAAATGAGATATGTCAATGCTTATACAACTGCATACCAAATATCATTGACCTACCACTAGTGGTTCCCCATAAATTGACCTAATCACAAACTAATACATGTAAACTATGAAAAGTTTCAGTCAATAGACCTTGACTGAGGGGGCGGGGCCAAATAACCTCCATGGTAATGAGATGTGCCAATGCTAATACAACTGCATACCAAATATCATTGACCTACCACTAGTGGTTCACCATGAACTAGACCTAATCACAAACTAATACATTGTTGACGCCGCCGAAACAGCATACCAATGTCTCGCTTTTTTACTCCGTCAAGGCGAGACAAAAATTACAACAAGGAAAGAATTACACTATTTAAAACTAAGAAACCCTTTTTTCCAGCAGTTATCATATACTATAACAGCACTATGACAGACCTGGTCACTTCTATGCTAAATAAATAAACTGCTTCGCTGAGCGCAGCTAGATACGCCCGCAGAGGTCCAACCCTGAACAGTTGGGGCAAAAATGGACACAATATTCAAGCTTGATTCAGGTATGAATTTGGATTGTAATTAAATATTTGACATATTATAGGTTTCTGAATAAATGTAGTCAAAGAACTTGAAATTGGTTATATGAATTGAATTTATATTCAATTAAATATTTCTTGCTGTTGTGCAATACTTAGTATATTTGTTGTCAGACTATAAACAAATAAAGTTCAATTAATTCTCAATGTCATATCAGAAATTTATGAAAATAAAAAGGGAGCTTACATCAATAGATATAAACAATTCACCAAAGTTTCATGAGAATTGGTGACAGCATTTTTGAGTTATTGTCAGAAAACTGGAAAATCACCCCTTTTTTTAATGAATAAAACCCCATAACTCAGAAATGTAAAATGTAAAATTTATAAAAATCTAAAGGGAGCTTACATCAATACATACAAACAATTCACCAAAGTTTCATAAGAATTGCTGAAAGCATTTTTGATTTTTTGTCCGAAAACTGGAAAATCCCCCTTTTTTTATGAATAAAACCCTGTAACTCGGAAACGTAAAATCTAAAATTTATAAAAATCAAAAGGGAGCTCAAATCAATAGATATAAACAATTCACCACAATTTCTTGCAAGTTGGTGAAAGCATTCTTGACTTATTGTCCGAAAACTGGAAAATCCCCCTTTTTTTAATGAATAAAACCCCATAACTCGGAAACTTAAAATCTAAATTTTATAAAAAACGAAAGGGAGCTCACGTCAATATATATAAACAATTCACCAAAGTTTTATGCAAATTGGTGAAAGCATTTTTGAGTTGATGTCCGACATGTTGACGACGGACAGACGGACGGACAGACGGACGGACGGACAGAGGTATACCATAATACGTCCCGTAAACGGGCGTATAAAAACCCATAATTGATCACATGATCACCGAAAAGAAAGGGAGGTAAATTTAAACCACAGTTTCGGTTTTCTTCGACAAACTTCTGAAACATTATATTATTGGTATATGTATGCAGAATTTCTATACATGCATCTGATTAGATTTGAAAAAAACATTTAAAATAACCTCTAAATTTTCCATAATCTTCAAACCATAAAGCTTGCACTACACTTTTTCAAATAAACTCTAGTTTCACTTAAATATCTAAAAGCTTTTAAATGTATCATGCTAAGATCACAAAAATAAGTCACTTTGAGTGCATGAACAATATATTCTACTTTCTAATATATATGCATCAAAGAATGTGTGGGGTAATTGTCAATAAGACAGCAATGTGACAACAAAGGTTAAATTGAATATTTACCTAGTGGTCAAGAAACATTTTTTAATGTTAAGGAATCATTAACATTATGTTCTAATAGATATACGCTATCAACCATTATAAATTATAATAAATTATAATCTCTAATATTATATTACCATGTAGTATCTAATTAGTAACGATAATATATTATAATAATAAAATAATAGGATGTGTATTATAGATAGACCAGGATCAATGTTTTATTCAATGATTGCACTCACACAAGGAAGCTTAGATCTACTGAAGACAGAATAAGTATTATATACACCTTGAGGGCATAATAGCCTGAATGGGTGTATCTGATTATTGTCAATGCAGAATGATAGTTTAGGAGGGGGTCTTTCAGGGATTTGACCATATGTTATTGAAAAGCATGATAAATGCAGGGTATCCTGAATTTCATTTAACAACATCTTGGTGTAAATGATTTTACAACCTTCCTCCTAATACCTCCATGTAGTATCTGCGTATCAACTGTAGACTAAGGATATAATGATTCGGGGCAATATTTTGCTCCTTCACTTTTCTAATGTTAAAGGTAACATGGAATTTTAATACATATAATTTTACAGTTGATAACAATATCTTACATGTAAAAATATCATAATTGGCCATATAAGAATCTATAGATTATGGGATTTTTGATTGTTCATACTTAGTCTAGTGTTGTCAATGGTTAATCGGTAACCTTGCAACAGGCCTCCTACGGACCCCTCAAAGAGTTGGTGCAAGGGTTATTAACGTTTGAAGAGCAGGACTTTCTCTACACCAGGCATTAGATTTAATGTCCCCATTCTGACCAGACCTGGCTGTGATTTATACAAAGAGGCTGTATAAATAGTCTAAAATTGAAACTGAACTGTTTTTTTGAAATATGTGATTTATATTCAATATTCAATTCAGCAAAATAAAGAAATCTTGAAAAATTTGATAGGATTCTTCTTCTGTTAAGATTTTGAACTTTAGATTTAAAAGAACAATTAAGTTACAAACATTGAATTATAAATTCTAATGCAACATTTTTTAGGATGTTCATTTTTATTGGATATCGCCACAAATTTCATAGCATCAATACCAAGATAGATGACTGAAATTGTGTGTGCAAGCAATTTTTTAATGCAGCGTTTTCTTCAGTTGCAATAAATCTTTGAATACAATATTTTGATCTCCTAATTATACAGTGGTTGAAGGATTAGAGTACATCAAATTAGTAGTAGTATAATTCATCACAAGAGAGTTAATTTGGGGAATAAAATAACTGAGCAACCATCACAATAAACCTCTATATGAGTCAAGAAAAGTTTTTAATTTCTAAAAAAAAAATTGTCATCAAGACTTACACTTTCACTTAAGTATCCAAAGAAAGAAGAAACACATTTATAAATTAAGTATGGAAGCTTAGTAAATAGTTGGCTCTTTTTAATTATAAAGGAGGAAATTCCCATATAAAAACAAAAGTACCATTACTGAAGATGTGATAAACAAGGTTGTCATGTGACATCTCATTAACTTAATTACAGCTAAACAAAAGGAAAATTGTACTACCGAGATAAATGATGAGGAAGGAACACTTGAATCAGATTTCCTTCCAAAGTGAGAACATACTTCCGTGACTCTTGTACCTAATTATACCAGTACGAAACTACGCTTTTTCAAAATTTCCAATTTAACGTCATTTATAATGGTCCCCTTTGAATGTTTTTGAAAAAATATTGGTTGATGATTAAGATTCTATATCAAAAAAGCGCCCCTGTTGTTTTTAAGAA